GATGTTCCTGTGGTGCCTGCACCGACTAGAGAGGAAGTTAATGATGATGATCAAGGTACTTCGGATCAAGTTGCTACTGAACTTCGTAGGTCCACAAGGACACGTTCCACACCAGAATGGTATGGCAACCCTGTCCGAGAAATCATGTTGTTAGACAACGGTGAACCTTTGAACTATGAAGAAGCAATGGCGGGCCCAGACTCCAATAAATGGCTTGAAGCCATGCAATCCGAGATAGGATCCATGTATGAAAACAAAGTATGGACTTTGACAGACTTGCTCGATGATCGGCGAGTGATAGGAAATAAATGGATCTTTAAGAAGAAGATGGACGCGGATGGTAATGTTACCATCTATAAAGCTCGACTTGTCGCTAAGCCTTATCGACAAGTTCAAGGGGTTGACTACGATGAGACTTTATCACCCGTAGTGAAGCTGAAGTCCGTCTGAATCATGTTAGCAATTGTCGCATTCTATTATTATCAAATATGGCAAATGGACGTCAAAACGGCATTCCTTAACGGCTATCTTAAGAAAGAATTGTATATGATGTAACCAGAAGGTTTTGTCGATCCTAAGAATGCTAACAAGGTATGAAAGCTCCAGCGATCCATCTATGAGCTGGTTCAAGCATCTCCGAGTTGGAACATTCGCTTTGATGAAATGATCAAAGTGTTTGGGTTTATGCAGACTTATGGAGAAGCCTGCGTTTACAAGAAAGTGAGTGGGAGCTCTGTAGCATTTCTCATACTATATGTGGATGACATACTGTTGATGGGAAATGATATAGAACTTTTAGACAGCATAAAGGCCTACTTGAATAAGTGTTTTTCAATGAAGGACCTTGGAGAAGCTGCTTATATATTAGGCATCAAGATCTATAGAGATAGATCGAGACACCTCATAGGTCTTTCACAAAGCACATACCTTGATAAGATATTGAAGAAGTTCAATATGGACCGGTCCAAGAAGGGGTTCTTGCCTGTGTTGCAAGGTGTGAAATTGAGCTTGGCTCAATGCCCGACCACGGCAGAAGATAGAGAAAAGATGAGTGTCATCCCCTATGCCTCGTCCATAGACCTATTATGTATGCCATGCTGTGTACCAGACCTGATGTAAACCTTGCCGTAAGTTTGGTAGCAAGGTACCAAAGTAATCCCGGCATGGAACACTGGACAGCGGTCAAGAATATCCTGAAGTGCCTGAAAAGGACTAAGGATATGTTTCTTGTTTATGGAGGTGACTAAGGGCTCGTCGTAAAGGGTTACGTCGATGCTAGCGTCGACACAGATCTGGATGACTCCAAATCACTAACCGGATACATGTATATTTTGAATGGTGGGGCAGTAAGCTGGTGCAGTAGCAAAGAAAGCATCGTGGCGGGATCTACATGTGAAGCGGAGTACATGGCAGCCTCAGAGGCAGCACATGAAGCAATCTGGATGAAGGAGTTCATTACCGACCTAGGAGTTATTCCCAATGCGTCGGGGCCGATGACTCTCTTCTTTGACAACACTGGAGCTATTGCCCTTGCCAAGGAGCCCAGGTTTCACAAGAAGACCAGGCACATCAAGCGTCGCTTCAACTCCATTCATGAAAATGTTCAAGATGGAGACATAGATATTTGCAAAGTGCATAAGGATCTGAATGTCGCAGATCCGCTGACTAAACCTCTTTCGCGAGCAAAACATGACCAACACCAGAACTCTATGGGTGTTCGATTCGTCACAGTGTAACTATATTATTGACTCTAGTGCAAGTGGGAGACTGTTGGAAATATGCCCTAGAGGCAATAATAAAATGATTATTATTATATTTCCTTATTCATGATAATTGTCTACTTCATGCTGTAATTGTATTGACCTGAAACCGTGATACATGTGTGAATACATAGACCACAACATGTCCCTAGTGAGCCTCTAGTTGACTAGCTCGTTGATCAACAGATGGTCATGGTTTCCTGACTATGGACATTGGATGTCATTGATAACGGGATCACATCATTAGGAGAATGATGTGATGGACAAGACCCAATCCTAAGCATAGCACAAGATCGTGTAGTTCGTTTGCTAAAGCTTTTCTAATGTCAAGTATCAGTTCCTTAGACCATGAGATTGTGTAACTCCCGGGTACCGTAGGAGTGCTTTGGGTGTACCAAACGTCACAACTTAACTGGGTGACTATAAAGGTGCACTGCAGGTATCTCCAAAAGTATCGGTTGGGTTGGCACGAATCGAGACTGGGATTTGTCACTCCGTATGACGGAGAGGTATCTCTGGGCCCACTCAGTAATGCATCATCATAATGAGCTCAATGTGACTAAGTGATTAGTCACGGGATCATGCATTACAGAATGAGTAAAGTGACTTGCCGGTAACGAGATTGAATGAGGTATTGGGATACCGACGATCGAATCTCGGGCAAGTAACATACCGATTGACAAAGGGAATTGTATACGGGATTACTTGAATCCTCGACATCGTGGTTCATCCGATGAGATCATCGTGGAACATGTGGGATCCAACATGGGTATCCAGATACCGCTGTTGGTTATTGGCCGGAGAGCTGTCTCGGTCATGTCTGTGTGATTCCCGAAATCGTAGGGTCTACACACTTAAGGTTCGATGACGCTAGGGTTATAAGGAAGATTTGTATGTGATTACCGAGTGTTGTTCGGAGTCCTGGATGAGATCCCGGACGTCACGAGGAGTTCCGGAATGGTCCGGAGGTGAAGATTTATATTTGGGAAGTCGTCATACGGTCACCGGAAATATTCGGGGGTATACCGGTATTGTACCGGGACCACCGGAGGGGTTCTGGGGGTCCACCGGGAGGGGCCCATGTCCCGGAGGGTCTTATGGGCTGTAGGTGGATGGGAACCAGCCCCTAAGTGGGCTGGGTGCCACCCCCTAGGGCCCTTGCGCCTAGGGTTGGGAGGGGGGGCTAAGCCCCCCCCCCCTTGCTTGGGGGGCAAGCCCCCTCCCCCTTGGACGCCGCCCCCCTCTAGATCTCATCTAGAGGGGTCGGCCCCCTTCCCCTTCTCCCAATAAATAGAGCGGTGAGGGGAGGGCTGCAGCACCACATCCAAGGCGCAGCCCCTCCCATCCCCAACACATCTCCTCCTCCGCGCGAGCTTGGTGAAGCCGTGCCGGAGAACTGCCACTCCATCACCACCACGGCGTTGTGCTGCTGTTGGAGCCATCTTCCTCGACATATCCCTCCTCCTTGCTGGATCAAGGCGCGGGAGACATCACCAGGCTGCACGTGTGTTGAACGAGGAGGTGCCGTTGTTTAGCGCTAAGATCGGAATCCACCACGGTCTGAATCGCTTCGAGTATGACTCCTTCATCCGCGTTCTTGCAACACTTCCGTCTCGCGATCTTCAAGGGTATGAAGATGCACTCCCCCCTCTCTCGTTGCTAGTTACTCCATAGATTGATCTTGGTGATGCAT